CTGTGGCGTAGGCTTGCCGCACGGCGCTGCCCTTTCGCCGCTCGTCCGCACGTACTGGGCGCATGGGCATCACTACATTAGCTTTACGCTGCTCGTGACGGTCCTCGAGCGAGCGCTCTACAACACATATGCACGCTGCAACGACGGCGTCAAGAGTAACATGATTCTGCGCGACTTGTTGCAATCGCCCGAGCTCGTTACCGCGCTGCCGTCCGGCTATCTGCAGCTACTGCGCCTCCTATTCTTTCCATCCGGGCTCAATTTACGGAATCTAGTCGTACGTCAACCTCTGCGATACTATCCAAGATAGCAGTGTTATCCTCTTAGTGGCATGGATTCGTCGCACCGATGGACCTTCCGGGATGCTTTGCCTCGCTGCTTCTCGTGCTCTTGGTCGAGCCCGTGCTGCTCGACACTGCGAGTGCGCACTTGGTCTACGCGTCGCTGCCGTCGTTTGCACCGTCGACGGCCCCGCTTTGCGCGGCGACCCGGAACCTTTTCGCAACCTTGGACCTCGACAATGTGTTTGCGGGTAGGGATTCGGGTTCACAAACGATCAAAACTACAGTGTCTCTAGCTGCGTCGGTGCAAGCCAAGGCACGACAACGGCTCGTACAGCGCTCGATCGACGCCTTGCACGACGGCCACGCACTCTTTTCCCTCTTTTTATCGATTCCCGTGCTCGAGTACCTCGTGCGTTGCGGTCCGACAACGTAGATCATGTCGTGGAGCCGTCATTCCTCTGTTGTAGACTTTGTACGCGTCAATCCTAGCGTGCCCCGGGGCATGGCCCACGCGCAACTCTCCGAGTACTACTCGACGCTCGACGGCTTTGGCCAGCGCTCGCAGCACCAAGTGCTTCTCGCGCGCACTTTGTTCGACTCGGTACCGACGTTTTATTCTACGACAGTACTCCGATTGAACTATTGCATTAGGACGACGCCCGCAATCGACTCTACGAGACGCTGTCACCGAGTGCGTTGGCGGCCTCGGTCGATCTCTTCATGTGCGCGGCCGGTCCCAACGTCCGCGCCAAGCTCTGCCACGGCGAAGTCGACTTGGTAACGTCGACGCGTCCATGCTGTGGTGTGCACACTAGTGTTCTCTAGTCGACGCTGTGGGTTGCGACACCCTCGGGGACGACGACAATCGACATTTGCGCTGCGCTCGTGTTGCTGCTGCTGCTGGAGGTGGATGTTTTTTGCATCTTTTTGTTGATTTTTGTTGATTTTTGGAAAATAATGTCTTGTTTTTCGTAGCGGCTTTGTCCGTCCGACCAGCTTGCGTCCGTCCTCCACGCGTACACCAGCCAGTTTCACCCGTACGCCATGCTGCAAACCGAGCTCGGGAAGACCGCGGTTGCCCTCGCCTCGTTTGGCCACCAGCGGCGCACGGTGCACTTCACTTGAACGTCTCTCGTGCTAGAAGATGTCGTGCTATAGGTCTACGCGTATGCACTTGTACCCGTGTCGCCGAACGTCATGCGCCTCGAATTTGTCGCCAATCCTTGTACACTATTGTCATTATCGGAAGCATGTCACACCTCCCATACTATCCAAATAGCTATGGGCATCACCGAAGCCAGTGCACGCATGTGTCCGTCGTCCAATGCTTCGACACTGCGCTTTCAAACCATTCCCGATGGTTTGCAAGCGCTGTCCGCAGCGCTGGAACCGTATGAGGCAGTCTTGGCGTCGCATGGGTCGTGGTTTATGCATGGAAGCGATACTGCGTACACGTCGTTGCTGCCAGAAATGGACCTTGAAGCGCTTGACGACGCCATTCCGTCGTCTACCTGCATGCTTGCAATCCTTCACGGTATAGTACATTTCTCTTGTAGTGATGTTTCAAACTCGGGTTGATTCGATATATGTCTATAGCGTGTCAGCAACTATTGACAAGCTACGCGCAGCGGTACGCATGTCATTCGTACAAAAGGATGCTAAGTCGTGGTGCTAGAATGACCGATCTGTATGGCCTCTTGGCGACGGGCAGTGCGCGGACGAGCCATCGGCGATCGCTCTTGACAAATGTTCTGTACCAAAAAGCTTGGAATCGATGCTCAGCGTTGTCCTTGGCCTGGTAGACAATCTGTCCATGCGATAGTGTGACAATGTCCACTCTGACCAATTTTGTGGTTGTAGGTCGAGCATTTGGTGCTGCAATGCGTGTCGGGGCTCCCATCGGCGCTCGAACCGATTCCGCGCAAGCTGCTTCCGTTCGTCGTCTCGCTCCAAGATGAGAAGAAGAGTTTGGAGAAGCATCTGCACGCCTCGTTGCAGCTATGGCACTCGAAAGCATTGCGTCAATTTCTACTGCAATAGTTCAACACGAACAACAACACCGAGTCATGCATGTGGCTGTGGATCGCGCCACGCGTGGGTCCAATATGATAGGGCTAGGTAACCGAACGCCTCGAGTGTCCAGGCATGTGTTGACACCCGACAATATTCATTGAAGCCTGGCAACGCGGGAGGGTTCAAAACATAACGCTAGGCTATATATGCTCCTCAACAACCCTACTGCAACGATGGCGAATTCCAGTACAACCGCTGCGAGCTGCCAGTATGTAGGTCATGTGCTTGATGGTAGGTTCGCTCGTCAGAAACCGGGATCCATCAAAACAGAATGACTCTGCACTTCCAAGTTTGTTGGTTGCTCCCTCTGTGCAAGAGACACCTCGCACGACAACAAGACAGAATGTGCATTCGCAACACAACGGACGATCAGAGGTAACTAGAGATAGCAGCTCATGCCAGGCATCGCTAGCGTCGGGCCTGCCACCACCGGCAACGACGACCTCGAGATATGATGGTAGCCGTCTTCAAAGATGGGAGAAATACGCTTCATGCAGCGGCGTGCACGCAGCCGGCGCACCTGGTGTGGTATAAAAGGCACGCGCTTCCCGCCGACGAGTGACGTGGCGTACTTGGCGTGGGCGTAGCACGCCGGCAGTGGAACCACGGGTGTGTTCTGGCGCTTGCTCAGCTGTGCGAGGTACTTGGGCGTCACGACGACGGGCGACGATCGCGACGGGGCTTTGCACAGCGTGTCAATGGACGTGTTGTTCAAGCAGAGCATTCTCCGAGATCTTAAAGGGACGGCGAGTATCGACAACTGCTGGCCGATTGCCATGATCGTGTCGAGATTCGAATTCGAATCTGGGATCTAGAACGTAGCGTCGATACGAACGCAGCAGAGTCGAAGCACAGATTCATGACAGAATCCGCGACTGGATGCGAGCGTCAGGATCGGACAACCGCAAGCCTTTGTGACATGGCAGCCTCGTCTCCCAAAGTGAGTACCAGGCCATATGCACCGTACTAGCTGGTGCAATGCGCTAGTAGCTAGTAGCTAGCAGCCTATCGAGCACTTTGATCCATTTCTACATGCCGGCAACGAGCGGAGACTCAGTTGGATAGTCGTTGTTATGGCCTTGCTATCTGTGCCAACCCAGTTGGCCGTTGTATTTTAAAATGGCGTGTTTTCAGATAGACATATTTTTAACTGCATTGATATCTAAAAACACCCAAAAACGAGTCTAAAACCCGCCTGTCTGAAAGGGCGGCCAAGGGAACAGGAGGCATCCATCGATATCGCAATTAATGACGTCACCAGCCGGCGTGCGCCTGGCTTATTTGCGTCGCTTCATCAGCGACCACGGCGGCGAGGCATCCTTTGCCGGCCAGACGACCGCCAACGTTTGCTTGGAGGTTGTCCTACCACAAACCCAGCCGTCAGGGCTCTCGCTCGTCGACCATCTCGCCATCGATGCAGCTACCGCCGCCTACGTCGCGCCAGCCAATTGGTACGTCTCGCACGCGTGGCAGTACCTCTTCTTGGAGATTGTCGACAGCCTCGAGTGCTTCTTCGCCGACCATGGCCTGGCCGACGAGGCCGTGATTTGGTTTTGCGTCGTCAACAACAACCAGCACGTCGCTGCGGCGCAGTCGTTCGAGCACTGGACATTGACATTCAAGACGAGTTTGGCGGCCAATGGCAACGTGGTCATGATGTTGCACCCGTGGAACGATCCGATCGTCTTGCGGTGAAGCTGGTGCGTTTGTGAGGTCTACGTGGCCGGGACCATGGGCGCGCGCGTTAAGATTGCCCTGGCGTGGCACCACAAGGCGCAGTTTCTCAAGGACCTTTGCTGCGAGCACAAGGCGTTTCGCGGTATGCTGGCCACCATCAAGGGCGAGCCTCCGAGACAATCGTGCCCAGCGACCGCGACGGCATCTTCGCTTGGATTCGCGTTCATTGTCGTCGACTTGCTTGCTGACCTTGTCGACATGGATCAAGACGACATTGGAGGCCTCGATCGCAGCGTTCAGCGCGCCACTGGAGCGAGCGGCATCTCGGTTGCATCTTTGACGACGAACAATGCGACGCAGAGGCCGAGCCGCCGGTCGCGGGACCTCTATCGTCAACACCGCGGCGACCACCGCCCAGAAACGCTAGCATCGCAAGTGCGGGTGGTCTACGCGATGGGCCGCCAGTCCAAGCCCCGCACCGAGTGGGAGCCGCTGCTCACCGCCACGATCGCCGCACAAGTGGCCGTCCTATGCGACGATCACGAAGACATGCTCGCATCGTCCTTCTACCATGGCGATCTGCTGCTCAGCCTCGGCGAGTACGCGTCGGTGCTGGTCATTGTCCTGTGAGTGTTTAGCCACAAGCAAGGCGCCGCGGTCGGCCCCGAGACGCACAAGGAGATGGGTGTCATTGGCGCTAGCTACCGGCACCACCACGTGCCGCA